TGGCCGACGAACCATACTCAACCGTCACAAATAGGTTTCCCACGTCTCTAACCAATCATGAACACAAACCGGCAACAATGATGGTAAAATAACTCGGGATCACATCGTCACACCAGTTATGATGGTCACGGCATATTTCTGTAAGGTGAGGAAGCTTTCATCTGTCTCACTCTGATTGAGATTTATTTCTATTCCCCACAACATGATAGCTAAGCTTGTGAATGCCTGTTTGCTCCCTGACTGGTTGTACTACTCCAGTGGTGTTATCACATACATAAATGACAATTGATGCAAATGAAGCAAACGAGTTTTCATGTATTCCTTTATTTTTATCAGTACTTCACTGTACAAATGCGGACCCAATTAAAGCCGTTTCTTGACTCGACTTGAATATCTATCGATTTCTATTTCATTTTATATGATTTTCTAAATCTGTATCCGAGTGCATAAAGCTCATGATTTGATCTAAATCTGGTGCTAGACAACTTTGTTAGTGCTGACTGTAACAATTCGCAGTGCTAGGTGGGCTTGGGGTAGTTCGCTACTCCAAATGTGTCTCGAGGCCGTAAAGATTTGTGAAAAGGGGTTCGATCCGCGCCACCGTGAATCAGAATGACATGTGTGAAAATCTCACACAGATTGAGCTTTTTTCGGTTTCTGAAATAGAAGGCGTTGTTTAGTTCTACCACGGAATCAAATCCGATGAACGCTCTGGATTAAGCATGGATGAAAGACGATAGGGGNCAGCACTTGGGGACAATACAGGAGACCGCTGTAAGGAGCCTTGGACAGTATTGATCAAGCGGTGAAATCATTGTCCCACGGGCCCCGTGGTCGCAAATTCCGATACGGGTACCGTCGCTAGACGTATGCCAATCCGTAACCGATACGGTAACTCACATCCTCACGCACAAAGTTTAATGGGATTCACTGAAGGAAAGTAAAACGGATTGGACTAGCTGCAGGTATCAGCTGACATCCTAGCAAAGCCACAGGTGTGTTGGCAGGTTGGAGAAGCTGCTGTAGGTATTGCGATCTCCTGCCAAAGCGCAGCGTGTAGTTGCGATCAAACTCGCGAGACAATTTAGTCTCTCCACTGTTCCGATATGATCACAAAGAGAGTGTGTGAAGGCATAGGTTTATGCTTATTTAGTTTCACTGAAAGTAAAAACTAAGCGAATATCTCGGGTAGAAATACCGATCAAGAAAACCACATAAGGGACCAAGCAACTGAGAGCTAGCATGAAGCACATCGCGGTTTCATCCAGCGAGTGACATGCATCGTGAGGTCGCGAATTGTGCTTTGTACCACGGTGGCCGACATGTAATCTTTTACCGATGGGTTATTACATCATTCTTTGGGGGGTTGTTCAAATGAAATGATTTCCGCCGCTCCTCAACAATTTGTTCTGCATCGCATATCACACGTGTGTAACAGACTAGTCATCCGCACTAATTGACCACACCAGAAAGGTACATTTTAGCTTCCAAAACAACAAGCTATCAAGAATCTTCAAACTACGGAAAACCCCTTTCGCATATCTTCTCATCAGTTGATAGTATTACCTTCTTGATAAAAAACGAATCAGAAAGAAAGAAGACAAAGTCCAGCTGGAATGTTCCTCTCAGCGAATCACACACAGCAACCCGTCCGGTTAGGGACTTCTTTTACATGTAATCATCTTGTGTGTAATGAAAAAACATCACACGCTTTCACTGTGCATGTCGACCACAGGGAGAGAGAGAGAGAGGGTTGCAAAATATAACGCGGACTGGCCTGAACCAGAACGTATACGCGTTTGTATCAGCTGATTTCAGACTGAGCGAACTATAGATACCGCAGCCAACGAAGAAGAAGAAAGGTATTCAGTTGCAGTACACCTACAAATTGTATTGATTTCGGGCAGTCTATGAGATCTAAGTTTTCACTCCCAAGAATCAAATACCGATTGGACTGCATCATTTGAAAGAAAACATCGTTAGATGACATTTGTTTGCACCCGTTAAACTTAGATTAAAATGAAAGTTCAGGGCATATGGATGAGTGCGCCACAGATTGGATTAACGAATGGCTGAAACATGTTACTTCCCAAGTCCGTTGGAGATAGGAATGTTTGTTTCTTCCCGACACAACACGGCTGAAGAGTACGGTAGGAAATACTGTAGGAGTGTGTATAGCCGATTCATTTTCCGGAAAATTTCATTTAGGTCGAGAGAAACCGAGTCCTCAAATAGGATGCCTTCTGAGGACATCATTTCGTGACAAGGAAAAACACAACACAAGTGGAAGTCCTACGGTTTAAGCAGAATCCCAAAATTTTGACACATGATCGCCGCCGTTGTCAGCTAACCCCCCCCTCCCCACTAACAGCACCAACAACGTTTAGTGGTCGATAGCCCCGCAGACGTCTGGTTCAATGAAATGAAATTTATCTTGTTGCTAGGGTTTAGATTGCCGGTACCTGAGGCAGAACAGCAAATACATTCTTGGCATTGTGGTTCACTCGTTTCATTTGATGATATGATTGTTAAATTATACAAACCAGGGAATTGTGAGATATGGGGGACGCCGGTGTGTGTGTGTGTGAAACGATTGTAAAAACACCAACTGTTGATGTGAGATGGGCACAGTGACCACACCAAACCGTGGCGAACGCTTCTGATGTTCGAATCCCGTACGAAATGCGAAATCTCATCACAAGTTCGAAATAATCATGGATACTAAGACTGTGGTGTGTCAGGTAAAACGTCCAAGGTGTACAATACACATCGATGCCCAATCGAATATGTGATCACTATGAAGGTGACGGTAGGTGGGGTTCGTACGCCTTATCTTCGTTAGTTTGCAATTAGGAATTTTAGTCAACTCCCCTGAATGAACTGTCAGTATTCGATCGCATCTCCTGGGCGTTTCGAATGAACCGGAACAGGCTGATTTGAACCAATATGTCCGAATCTATTCACAANGTGAAGGGATTCACCAATTACAATGATCTCATGAAATTGCTCTGTCAGCCAATGTCAGCCAATGTAACCTCTGAGATGAAACGATTGACTGAACTGATTGACTGTAACAATTTTATCGTTTACGCATTTGAGTGTCATGATCACAGATGATGCAGTGAACCACCCAACAAACAAAAAAAACCTGCAGCCCCTAGTCAGGAATACTCATTGTTTGTTTATGCGGATCGGTAACATACGCCCAAAGGATTAGTTAGGAGTTGAGAAAAACCACACAAGATACGCCTGGTGGTAGCTCAGGTGTCCACCTCCGAACAGTGATCCGATTCGAACCTCGGATCGTTGAATGCACTCACTCATTCAACCTTCCGCTTATTCAATCCAACAACTCACGAGATTGGCAGCTCAGAACGATCTTACAGGGAGTGCAGACCGCATCAATGCACACACTGTTGCCCCCCCTCCCGCACCAAACAAAATGCTCTTTCCTCAAAACGAACCAAAATCGTGATGCTATCCGATACCATCCGTTCAGAGTGAATCAATATAGCCAAATCCAGTTGCACTTTTAAGGTCCACCGCCAAATAAACGGAAACCATGAGATTTATCATGTAAAGGTCGGAAAAATGTGTACTTTACACGGCTCGGAAGTTCACATATTTTGCTGTCTGTTCGAGTTCACATGACGCGCACAAAACGGAATCCAGTTCGGCGTACAGTGAGACGATGGAGATCAGGAGAATCACGGAAAAGACCAAGCCTTGTGGTCATCTAAGACGGACAGTGAACAAATTGGTCAGTTGGTTCAGACAGTACAGACGATTACAAACGGGGTCCCGGGAATGGGAGGCTACATCATGGGCTCTCGGATAGGCTAATTTAGAGCTTTTAAGTCTGACCGAATCCGATCGGAATACCGTTGAAAATTGAATGGACACTGAGGAGAAGATGTACGTGGATGAATCGATCTTTGCTTGCTTGATTCAAACAGGATATTCAAGGTGTGATGATAACAACAACGGTGCAGCCCAGTGAATAATGGGGTCAGCGCACGCCCCCGCCCCCCGACCGCCGGGGAGGGGAGTCGTCCGATTGGAGCGAATTGATCTGTCCTGACGGCACTTACCGGTCGTGAAGTTTACTCGTGTAAGCCCTGATGTATTCGTGCTGAACGAAAAACAAACACAAAAACAACCCTATGGCTAAGTTTCGATCACCCGATCGATCGATTGTCATCCCCAGGATGAAAGTGGAGTGGAGGCAGAAACGCAAAACAATCGGATTGACGACTGATTTGAACAAGGATAATTATTTGGTATTTTTCACACACATCTGAGTGTGAGACTACGTGCGCAACAAATCACCATACAATGATCTTCATGGAAAAATTTCCACAAGTTGTTCCAGGTTACAATACTGCTAGGTACCCCAGGCCAAAACAAGGGAGTTCACAATCAGAGCCTTGGACTTGCCAGAGCCCCACAAGACAGTGGGGTGGGGTGAGAAAACTGCAAACCGTTTGGGGCCGATGTAAAATTCATCGGATCATACCTACCCATGGAACGAGGTCAAAAGTCCCAGGTGCCTAATACATTTAAATGCCCAATCAAGTCAATAACACACTGTTATAACCAAGACGATTTGGAATCAAAGATTCTAGCCATCTTCTCTAGGCGAATGCTAGTTTGGTTCACTGACCCGGTTATAGTTTCGCTTGCTAAACAAGGAATGTGACAGTATCCCACAGTAAACTAACAGACGGTTATCAACAAAAAAACATTCACTGGGTCAATGTTGTTCTGCAATTAAACTTGAATTTCTTATTGGAGAGGGATGGTTTTTTGGCGGAGCAGTTCGAAAACACAACAACATAATCGATTCGTCATTTATAGCAATGAGACTCTGATCTCGAGGATTAACCTTGACACTGGAGTAGAATGGATGCGGATACAAAGAAAACACATAAACAGATTAAAATTGAACTGTGGGTCGATGGGCACCAATTGGAATTATCTGCATAAAAATGGGAACTTACTTTATCCGCATTCGGATCTAGAGGTAGGGCGGTCCACAAGGTCCGTGGATCTCCATACGGTGTCCCGTCATCGTTCACATCTTGAGTTTCGATGTAATTATCCCACATGCCGCGAACCAATCGCACCGGATTGCCCGCCGCGTCTTGAACAACACCGGTTACCTGAATCGAGGGATTTAAAAAAAAACGAGATGCAAGTATTTAGAAGGAAAAGATGTTTGTGTTATGGCGCTGAACTTTGTGTGTTGATTACGAAACACGGTCTTTAAATGACTAAATAATCGTCATGTATCTGAGCTGATTGAAGCCATTCTGCTGGACAGATCAACGCACGACAGAAGGGTGCTGTGCGTGCAGGATAGGGTGGAGTGATAAACATTATTGCTTGTTAGCACAGTACGCGGGAGACGGTGCGGTGGGACAAGATCTAATGGATCATGGCAACTAATGACAGGATAATCGACAGACAATGACAAATCCCTCCTATCCCGACCGGGTATAGGTTAACTAATGACCAGTGAACATAACAGGAAGAGTGATACGATAAGTGCTGGGACAGCCGCAGTTACCGAGAAGATGTGTTTTTATCAAACAAAGTGCAAATATATTGTCCAGCCTCCTCATAGGTTTTCATCAGTACATATTTTATGAAAAACAACATGGTACATGGTACAGTCCTCACAAAGACAGACGTGGAATTCATCAACGAAGACAGCTACATCGGCAATTTGGATTTTGACTTGACACGGTGACAATCTAACACAGCACGTGAATTGCACCGATCGGACAGAAAGGAAATGGTCTACCCAGTGAGGTGTGACAAAGTGAACTTTGCCTTATTCCCGCCCTGAGCTTGTGCCACCCAGAGACATGTAACGGAGCAGACTTTAGATAAAGGGGCGTTGACGACCAAAATTAAAAATCAGACAAAAGATCAATGGGTATGCAGCGACTTTTACCAGGGTTATCGTGTCATTTACACAACCTTGGAGCGTGCAAATTTGATTGGTCGACGGTGGCCGTAGCTGAACCAATGGGAATCAAGGCCAACGGCTATGGGTGATTTCGTTCGCTGCAGTTGGGTGTGAAAACAAAAACTGCAGACGTTGCGAAAGCCAAGCTAAGGAGTACCAGCAACACAGGAGGCATCGTAGAGACCAAAGTTGTTTAGTCCTAATGAAGTCATGTCATCTGAGTCCGTTTCAGTTTCTACAGCCATTAACTATGCACTATCGTGCATCGGTATTGGTTGCCGTCTTTTGACTGAACATGAGGAGAAACACAGGAAAGGTTGAAAGTAGGATCGAAGAGAAAATTTAGGACTTCAGTGGATTAATGTTGCAGAAAATTTGACAAGATGCACGAACGCCACTGTTTACGACACTCAGTGTCTCTAACCGTCGGGTACGATCATCCCGAGGTCCCAAGCCAGGGAGCCTAACGGGATCTATGTGATCCAGACGAATGGTTAGGGTTTCCATACCCTCATGCCAGGTATTAGCTTGATCACCCTTATCTTTTTTCCAACCACTACCTACATCGGTGAATATCGCTCGCCGTGACAACCTACCTATCTGGTGGCATGCGTAACACATGCCCCAACCAACGTAATCTATGAAGATCAACCACTTTTTTCAGTCGGTGACCGCAGGCAGTTCAAAGGCATTTTCCCAACTATATTTTTTCATCAACGAGCAAGTATTCCCACGGGGACACTAAACAATCATCACCTGAGAGACTTGTATTTACAAAAACAAACAAACAACCGTAGTCCTCAAGACTAGGGTAAGATCACTCAAATAGGAAGTGAAAACGAGATGTGGTATAGTCACAAATGATCCGCTTCAAACATGGAATTAAATGAGAAAACCGAAGAACCTCATCCTGTGCCTGACAGAACTCATGATTTACATGCAGAGTATACAGGTACTGATCTGGGCTGGATAGTCAGTCAGGAATCTGCAGCACACACACACACACGGAACACACAATAGGAAGATCAGTGCTGTTTGTAAGCTGCTGGGAGATTCGGATTACAACTGAGACGGCTATTTATAACTTCAAGGAATCGACGGACATCAGCGAACTTTTCCTTTAGCACTTAGCGGGCTTCCTTTTTCATATTGCATTGGTGGTTCATTTTCACAAACTATATGCACACACACACACACACACACACGCACAATGTTACCAAGTGCACTGACCTCAATGATTCGAAGTGTTCCAAATGATTGTACATCCGAAGCGGAAAAAATATATTTACTAGTGGATGGGAGAGAGAGCGACTGAGAGCTGGATTGTGAATAGAATGGCCACCCGGTAAAATGTAATTACCAGGATCGCGGGAGAGATGAAAAGAACTGTTGGTCGGAGACCAATGAGAATACGCAGTTTACGTCCCAGACGCGCAGTAAAAATCATACCTGAAAGGTCTAGACAAAACTCAATTTCACGATACCGGCTCCTTCGGGCACCGTGTGGCTTCATTTGACTATCTACTATCGTTTCTGGAGAGGTTACTCCAGAAACCAAACAAGATGAGGAGTAGTTTACTGGTAAAACAACGCTACCCCGAAGAGAGGTATCTGGGACTTCTGCTTCATGGTGGGAGAAGTCTTCGCACTTGATTAGGCTGCTATCGTCGGTGCGAACTGGGCGACCCACAGCTAGGAAGTTGTTTTCCGTCCACATTCAGCCTGTCTTATTGGAGGCATCCAGCTAAAGGCCCGATCGCGGACAATGGACAGACAATCAACACCATAATATAAGGACCTTGGACGACACGTCTCTAGAAGCCCCGACAAACGTGCTTCGATTGCGTTGTCGCAGTCGGCATACACCTCACTGCTTTTTTAGCCAAACATTGAAATCAAAGACTCCGGTTCGAGTTCCGAGAAACCCCTTCGTTGGTGTGGGCTACTGCCCTAATGTCTCAGGCGCAACCCATTTGGAAACACCACTTTTTCATGTGTCTCGTTATTTTTCATAATCGATGACTTCTCCTGCTCTCTCTCACTCTGGGGATAGATGAATCAACGCTTAACCAGTACAACCACTTCATAAGAAGCTATACAAGCAATGAAACCAAAATATATTTTACACAACCATACTCAGTTTCCGCACACTCTATCAGATCGGGTAAAGAGCTATCTATCTTGGTTAGATTCTTTGAAACTCGACTCGGACGTAGGTTGGGATTTCGAAACACGCACTCAAAAGACCCTAATTATATCAGCACTAAACGTATGTATTCCAGATCTCATTTGATTCTCACACTTCACTATTCGTGTATCAGTCAATTTGGATTCTAGATTTAATAGTAAGAATCGAAATCACCGAGAGGGCCCATATGTAATCAACCAGAAGGATAGCAGAGATCGTCTACTTAAGCTTTGAATCAACTTATTCCCCAAGAAACAACATTGTGCTTTCATGAACAACCAACTACTTTTTGTTCGCGGATGGACTCAACTCGACCCGAGCTATTGCTGGTGGGAACAAATTAACGATTGGCGCGCTAATTGATCCATATTCGAGGACACGAACCATGCTTTCTCATGAACCAGATTCGGCCTATTCCTGCCAAAACAACAAAGCCGCTGGAAACGGATGTCCACAGTACAAAGTGAATAATACCAGTTGCAAAATGAGTTTTGAAGTGGAACTCTCTCTCTTTCTCTGTGTTGAACCACTCGCCGAAGGACTCACTGAGCACTGGAAGTGAATCAGGAAAGCGTTCTAAATGTCGATCACCGAGATAACGGGTTCGCTTCATTACCCGGGTCCGCCTGAGAAATGAGCGCCAGAATTGGTGGGTAGTAGAATGCCAGGCTATGAGAAGGGTGGCGGCTATCTATTCCTTATAAGTGGAAGACATGTGACCGAAATCGGTTGTCTCTATCGGTTTTTAACTATGTAGGTTCAGCCTCGGTTTCGGGTTTTACGAAATTCTTAGATTTAGTATGAACGAGGGCATAGATTCCAACCAAATGGTGTCTCGCTCAGCTCACCGATTTTCAGGAAAGGTGATAGGTTCCCTTGTGAAATGCCCAAGAGAGTACAGTTTGATCAATATCGTCTTCAAATATCTTACTGATAGGAAACTACATCGATTATTTGCTTGAAAACCAGACTGGTATTAAAGCCGTTGCAACGACCATATATTCATTCACCGCCGTTCCGGAACACATTCCTTTCGGAGGTAGAGAGAGTGGTTATCGTTCTTGATTTAAAAGTGGCCTTCGACCCAGTCAACCGCTCCATACTCTGACGATCCGTCTCATTCGAGCTTATGGCTCTTTTTCGAACGAGTTCAACACACAGAAAGCGGTGATTGATAAGGCTTCTCTCTCTCATTTTCTATTGAACTTTGAAATTGATTCGAATCGGGAAACAACTCTGCCTACGTGTGTTAGTAGCGGTATTATTTTTTTCGAGGTGGAAGACTCTATGATATAAAGTGTGCGCACTATGAGATCCAGGTATGTTACAATTATTTCTAAATGGGGTTAAACCTGCAGTCAGTAGGAGCTGCTGTTCAGTGATAGGAACCGGTAACCTAATCTCGGGGACTTGGAGTGATGAATCATATTATACAGCCCCACTAGGTTAGGCGTGGTAGTAATCCGGATGACAGCAAAGCTGTCTAGTTGGTGGTAGTGATTGGGTTCGAACCTCGGATCACAGGGTCCAAAGCACGTCAATGATAGTGACTAAATCACTACACCACCACCCTAATGGGCAAGTATCAATGGAAGTGGACCAACTATTTTTATTTGGGCAGCTTTATAACGCACAGGGTGGATGCATCACGGATGACGTGATAATGAATACTGAGGATATGCAAGGTATTGAACAATTTTATATTCCTTTGAGAACAACGTCGGCTATCTGTGGAGGAAGGAATGTATCCTGAAGTAGTTGGTGTAGATACACGGTACAGGTAATTGGTGGTTAAGGAAACCGGATAAACATAGGCTATCGGTGTTTGAACACCACTGTCTACGAGGCATTGCACAAGTCTGCTGGGGCAAATGGACAATTAATGCCGCGGTAAAGTGTAGAGTAATTACGGTCGCCAAATGAAGCAAATACTGGACATTCAGATAACATGCATACTGCATAGGGCTTCTTAGATGGGAAATTGCGAGTCGGTGTAACCGATGATACTGAGTGTTTTAAGTAACCGTGGTGATCGTGCTGTTTCTCAATTTATTTGCTACCTTAGTCCGTACTGCTTCCGGCATTGCAATTTTCACCCAATCGCATCATCCAAACGGGAAGCCAAAACACAGCAACCGAACTATCTCACAAAACGGCATGGTTGATGGTTATATAAAATGAACCAGACTCAAGCGCAGGGGAAATAATGAAAAGCTCGAACAGCATCAATCCACATAAGGAGGATCGCGGCGGGCCGGTAATTTCAACAAATATGTGATGTCACTATTCAAGAGTACGGTTGTTCGAGTCAGGCAATCCTTTGTTGTTTATTGGTGATCTTTTCTGTTACAAGCACAGAGCGACGGGGTAAAGATAGACTGTTGGTGTTTGAACATCGCTGTCTACGTATCTAGCATCTATCTAGAATCTGGTACAGCAGTCGGACGAACAATGCTGAGGTGAGCCGCAGAGTTTTGGGTAACCGCGGTCGCCCACCGGAGCAAGTGGTCGGCCTCCATGAATTACGTTGGTTGGGACATGTGTTGCGCATGTCCCCAAATAGGTTGCCAAGGCGAGCGATGTTCGCCGAGGCAGGTAGTGAGTGGAATAAAGTGAAGGGTGGTCAAGCTAAGACCTGGCATGAGGGTATGAAATCCCTAACCAGGGAACTGGGTCACATAGGTCCCGTTAGGCTTCTTGCCTTGGGAAATCCGGATGATCGTACCCGACAGTTAGAGACACAGAGTGATATGGCTGAGTGTCGTAAACAGTGGCGTTCGTGCATCTTGTCAAATTTTCTGCAACATCAATCCACTGAAATCCTAAATTTTCTCTTCGATCCTACTTTCAACCTTCCTGCCTTTCTCGTATTCTTCATTTAATTGGCAACCGAAACCGGTGCACGATAATGCATGGTTAATGATTGTACAAAGTGAACTGAATGGAGCGACGCAATGGATCGGCGGCTATTCGTAGAAGGAAAAACATTCGAAGGCTACTCCATTTCACAGTATAGGCAATTTAAAAGTATACAATTAGATTTATTAACTAAATATATGACTCCAGGACCTGGAAGACAATATCTTTTGAACGACATACTGGAGTGTGTGACAGCAATAAAGTACTCAATTCTATTCAGTAGAGCTAGACAATAGAATCGCCTACACCTACCTGATTAGAACAAACAAAGGTTGAGCCAAAAAACGTATGTCCCCAGGGAATATACAGACAGGCAATGGCGCTTGTATGTCGTATGGGAACCTTTCGATCAAACGGAAAAATGACGAGTTCAGAAACAAAAGTCCATGACCTATATTTTATTTCAACGGATCGAGCGTGTATCACATACATCTCGATTGACCGGGGACCAGTTGATGAACGCGAGTGGTGGATAGTTTAAGGACGGTGAGACCACATTTATTATACAAGGTAAAGCTAGCACACCTATATAGTTGCTTGCACATGCAAGATGTCAATGGGCGAAACCTGGGTAACTAGGCGACGGAACAAACAGATATCAGACATCCGATATTCAATGCGGCAAGTGGAGGAAGGACATGCTAGTCTGTGACTGTAAACCACGAAACTCGGGGACGCGTAAAGAAGTTACACATGGGAACTGAGATGATGAATGATTTTCGAATACAAGTTTCGAGTGGTTTGTGGTAAGTGACCATCTGAGATAACAAAAGAATCTCTAAAAACACACAAACCAATCAATTGATTGAGGCAAATGTTGGAAATAATATGAAACGATTGTTATCAGGGGTGATGGGAGCGGAAATAGCACATACTTGTTTCGGTGGTCCTCGGTTAAAATAGGAGTGAGCTATGAATCGCATTGGACATGTGTATCCATTGGTATGATTCTGAATGACCACATCCCCGTAATTATCGATCCACAAAGACCCGACGATCAAATTGTGCACCACGGTGGTCGCTTTGGTCCACGTGTAACGAGATCCGTCACACAGCAGAAGATTCACAGTACCTGGATGGAACGAAACAGAGAGCGAACTGTTCTCTTAAATTGAGAAAAGGAAAGATGAACAGCATATATTGGAGATAGCAACATCATGAGGAATACCGGATACGTATACCTGATGAGCGGCAAGAACCGCGAAACCGGTCGTGTGTTTCCAGGGGGAATTTTATCGAGTAATTTACACACTACTCATTGTGAAGATACTCCAGAACTTCCCGGGGCGAATGATCATAAAAACAGGTCTACATCATCGGGAATAAGCTTCCAAGAGCGACAATCACTGGCACGTGGTGCAGGACTACTTATGAAACGGCATTAATCCCCTAGCAGTATGCTCATTAAACCACCACCGATATCCTGATAAGGACTGATTTGATCGAGACCCATCAGTTCAAACGTTGCATCCACAGATGAGGTAATGGTATTGTATTGTACTGTGTATAACTTTTGCAAGCACTGGAGCTCACATTTCAGTTAAAAAATTACACACGCTAACCGTCACAATGTACATAATCAACGGGGAGAAAAGTTTTCGCTGGTATGGAGACATTCAGAATCCAAGGTTAAGACAAAGTTCACTCATTGTTAGCTCTTTGTTTCTGAGTAGACGAGCAAGATACGGTATGGGTGAATTGCGGTATGCGTTAATTCGAGATGAAATTTGACGGAATTGGGAGCGTGTTGAATGATGGTAATGACAAAGTGTCAGTTCTGCATGCAATGGGTGGTCCGGATCTGTGAGGATCCTCTCGGCAAATTTCACACAGGAAGTTACATGATACTCTGAAAGCTTTAAAGCTAACTCATTCACAGGAATGGGAGAGACATGACTCATAATGGTTAAACCGCGTCGTAAGACTTTGAAGTCCTGTTTGAGTAAACCAGGAAAAATAACTGTGGAACAGTAGAGTAAGATGGGGAAACACATTGATAAACAAAAGTAGAAACAACTGACTGGG